ACCTTACAGGTCTACAGTTCGAATCTCCCTACAGCCTACAACCTACGGCGACCTACTTACCACTGGCTATCGTGCAGGTCACTGGTTCAACTCCAAGGAACTGTGCAGATACTGTACACAGGTAGGCTGAGGTCAAGGGATCGACCCCTGGGATCTGCGTCGGCTACTGCCAAAGGTGAAAACTGTTTCATGACAGACAGCATTAGTTTAGAATATTATTTATTCCTGATGCTTCCTCTGTTTGAGAACTAATCTTACTAAAAATAGTATTGACAGTAGGAATCTGACTTACCTGTTGACCCCACATGAGATCTGTTCCAAAATAGCCACCACTAATTAGTTGGTCTGTGCACTATGCTGCGGTAGGCATCTTGAATGATCTAGTGTAGACGGTGCACAGTGTTGTAGCCTATGAGCGATGAGGAGAACACCGAAGAGGACGACCGCAGGACTTTGCGATCAGCTAGGGGCCCGGTAGCCCACGTGTCCTTAGGACCGGAGGGTGATAGGGAACTATTCCGCCGGCAGCGGGAGAGGCAGCAGCAGAGGAGAGCTAGAGCAGCTGAGGCCAGCAGGGCATTAGCTAGCGAGGCCGGTACTACAGCAGCCATGGCCACCACAGCAGCCATGGCCACCACAGCCATGAGCACGTCTGCGCAGCAGACTTCCCAAGCCGGTAGTTCATGTACCACCGGGTCCACGGTCGCGCAGACCGTGAGTCAGTCCACTGGCTTAATGGAAAGCCAACCCACGGTGTTGACCCCAGAGGATGTCGCCATCCAGCAGGCAGCTCTGCAAGAGGCACAACTACAGCAGACATTAGGACAAATAAAAAGAGAGAAGGAAATGATGATTAGAAGAAGAACCAGGATGCAACAAAGAGGGGCAAACATAAAGGAGTTAGAAGCAATGGACCTGACGAACATGGATGATGACGTGAGGTTAGTTAGGAGGGCCCTGCTAGGAGTAATAGAGATGCAGAAGCATCAGACTACCATCTTTCATGACATCCAGCAGAGCTAGCCATTTTGGTAGCGCGTTCTCAGGCAGCGCCATCACCGGCAGGGCCGGGTGCCTGGCCCGTGCCATATCCTCCTTTTTCTATTCCATCGGTGACTGGGGTTTCCCCATATGTAGCCCCGTCATCGGTTGCTATCGTTTCCCTGGGGATGCCTCTGTCAGGAGGGGTAACAGCAGGGAGTGGTGTGCAGGTTCCGGTACAGACAGTGTTCACTCGGAGTCCGTTGCATGTTGCAGTTACCACGCAGCCTGCTGTCTCGCAACCTGTGCAGCCACAGGGCACACAGCCCCAGCAGCTCACAGCAACCTGTATCACCGGGTCCACAGCCCGGGGTGGTGCAGGGACCGGGATAAACTCAGTGGGTTCCAAAGACGGCCATCGTCGCTCCTAAACCTTTTACAGGGGACAAGAGAGGCGAAGACCTCGACACTTGGTTGAGGGCAATGCCGGTCTACGTCAGGTGTAAACTCACCTTGCCGCACGAAGAAGTGCTTGTGGCTGCATCCTACCTAGAGGGTAGTGCAGCAAGATGGTTGAGTGGTTTAGTAGAACTCCAGGGGCACGGTCATGACTTCCGCTCTTGGGCAGCCTCTCAGAAACTGGAGGACTTCCTGAAGATGGTGGAAGAGAGATGGCATGATCCCAAAAGGCCACTGATGCGATCCTGACACTGCACACGTGGCAGTTTAAGTCAATTAGGGAAGCCACTGACGCTGTTGAGCGTCTAATCTGTGTCCCAGGTGTGCG